TGAATCAGGATCTGTGGGCTTGAGGATAACTTACAGAAGCCAATGGGAAGACTCATTTATTTCAATGAATAACTCAGTATAGATTTTGTATTTAGATTTGGGGAGGCAGGGAGGGGCTAATTGTGGTCTATTTTTCTTTGGAAAGAGATACGCATTTCAAAAAAGGATTTTAGAATGTTTGTCTGTAATAACTGCAGTTGACAAATTGAACTAGAAGTGAAAGCAGTAGTGTCTTAGAGGCATTTTGCAGGAGAATCTGTCTGATAACAACTAAGTGTTAACTAATCATAACAAGCCCTTTCTTTGTGGTGACTCTTTGCTTCTTGCCCTTCCACATGACTGAAGATGCAACATAGCCCCAGATTTGACAATCATATTAGGCACTGGTCTCACATTTTCTCCTAAAAGCTAGGATGAGAAGCTCTGCATTTTTCATCCCTCATCATCTTCTGTAATAGCAGTTGTTAATGTAGGTTTACATACAGCTTTATACACATCTTAGTAATAAGGTATGCTTGAAACCTCAATCTGGTATCTGTGACCTGAACAGCACTGCTAAGTTACTTTTAAATATACAGAGCAACAGCATGCACAGTAGCAGTACACATCGTTCTGAACCACAGCTGCACAACGGATAAGAAAATGGTTGATCATGTTGAGTGGTACCTCAACCTGTACTTTCAAGATGAGGTAGCACATGTAGTTCCTATGAAACTGTAAAGCACCTCTAATATAACTTAATAATTAAAGTAGGTCATATTTTGTTTGTTTGTTTGTTTTTTTACATCCAGTGGTTATAAGTCCTCAGTATTTATTTTCATGGCCCCTTTTTTAAGCATAAGATAACATCAAAATAGTTCTACATTAACAATAGAAAAATATTCTGAAGAACAGTTTTCTTCAATTTATGCAGGACATGAATTGTTGGAGCATTTAGTTCTATTATTTACCATAAACTTGGTATTTGCATTTGTTGTATTCAATCAGTCCTATTCATAAGTATCTAAATTACCATCATTCTTGCTATTGTGAACACAAAGAGAAGTGCCTACATATATATCTGCATCTGCTGAGTGATCAAGCAGAATAATTTTTTACTATTTACTTGCTTCTGGTATTCCTCAAGATTTTGCAAGCCACCATGAGGGCCACCCAAAGTACCTGCTTTGAAATTTCATTTTAGAAGGTACTTTATTTCTAAAAACAAAATATATAGAAATATAATATATTTCTATATATTTTTAATATATAAAAGAAAAATATATAAGATGATTTATTTTAGAAAAGAGTACTAGAAGACGAACAAAGACTGTATTTACAGCAAACACAGTATTACCTTGATACCATAGAATATATTACATAAAGTAAGAAAATCCTTGAAAAACTAAGGATGTGCATTGGTTGAGATGGTAAATTTATGGAAGAAAAAGCTTTCAAGAATCTGTATTCCATACTTCTACCTTTTGTTTGTCTTTATCATCTTATGCTTTCAGCCACCCTTTATGACAAAGTTAAATACACTCTTCCCTGTCTAAAAACACGCTCTCTTATAGAAAATCCTTTAGCTTAGGGCTGGATGGGGAAAGAAAACAAACAAGCCAATCAAAACACTAAGATGGAGCCAAATCACTGTTGGGATAGATTTTTGTATGATGTGACTAGGGTAGTGGAGGACTGACCCATATGCTCAGACCAATTTCTTCAGTCCCATGTTTATAAGACCTAGCTAGGTCTAAACTTTCCATTTTATCTTAGAAAAAAAAATAAATCCTTTCTACAGGTACTATTGATCTAGTGAAACTGTTATCACATCTGTTAGGCAGATATCTAGTAGATATCTGCCATAGCACCAAAAACAAACTCATGATATATGTGAAAACAGCCAAAACCACGAAAGCCATATCACAGTCTTGCTAGTACATTAAAACCTACACAAGCCAGTAAGCGTCTTCATATTCCCATAGCATTTTGCAAACTGAGACTTGGTGCAAACCCCCAAAGCAAGCCTTTCTCTTTGTTGTTACTGCCTTAGCATCTGACCTTTCAAGGGAAAAATTTTCATACCAGTGCTTACAGCTTTTTGCATCAGGTAGTCCTGTTCATTTTGAGCTCATTTTGTTAGATAAAATGTAATGGTCAATAGTAATTCACAGAATATATGCTAGTATGTATACATACATATAAATATACATTTATGTTAATGTGTTAATGATTACATATGCAGTCGATGATTAATCTTTGCCCTTAAGGTGGCTTATTTTCTACCAGAACAGGAAAAAAATAAAATAAAAAACAGTTTCTGTTGTATGTGGGGAACTCTTACTAAAGAAGTACAATTTACAATCATGTTTGATTCTCATTTTACAGTCTTCAGATGACAGTCAAAATTCTATTTAAGTGAGACAATTAAAAAAATAATCCTACCTGCAAATGCTAATGAGACAGCACGATAATTAATCCCACTGATAGGCATTCATATTTAAATAAAATGTTATTGCCTAATCCTTTAAAAAAGAAACAACTTCAACGGAGCAGGTTGTTCACAGCATTGTGACAATAGCTTTTAATCCTACCCATGTTCAAAATCCTATCCAAGTGTTTTAAATGTCACTTAAAATCACAGCTAGAAACACACATGGTATGCTTGATTATTACTATCCCCTTTTCAGGCTCAAGTTGATGACTCAAATATCCCTATCCCTCTCAACCCTCTTCCAGCTTTCTGGATTTCTTGAAATACTCTTTTGTGTATCCTACTCCTGTACTTGGTAGGGGAGGTCAATTAAATCTTACATTTAGAAAATAAGAGCTGTTTAATCTTCACCCCATTAAATTATATACCTTAAGAGTATATGTTGATGCCTATGATATGTTTTATGTTTTAGTTGCTTTAGGTACAGACAGGCTCCCAAAGCATCCTTGGGAAATTACCAAAAACTGTGGGGCTGTGACCAATACCATGCCTCCTCCTTTATGACCTAGTATTTCTATGCTCATTTAACTCTGTCTTAACAAGCAAGACATTAGAACTCTTTCCCTTTTCTTCTCTTTCTTTCACTCCCTTTTCATGCTTACAAGCAACTCATTAAAGTTATATATTAAAGAAGGGGGAAATATATATATATATATACACATATATATAAAAAGAAAGGGGAAAACAACAACAACAAAAAACAACCGAATTCCGCACAGCAGTTTTGATCTGGATCCATTTCACCAGTATTACACTTTTTTTTTTCCTTCAGAGTAAACAAATCTCAATAACTTGTTGTCCAGCGTAGACAACCTTTAGTGAGGATGATAAGAGTTAACAGTTTTCAGACCCACCACACTACTGCTAATATTTAAAGAGGCATTATCCACTGGGAGTATCAGGTACCACAGAAGTTAGGGTCTAAATGTAGATTTAAAAGGTGAAGACAGTAGAATTAAAAACTAGAGAGAAATACGCTATCAGCTCAAGGGAAAGGACTGTGTAAGAGGTAAAAAAAATTAACAATTCAATCATTTTCTATTTAGGATATCAGATTTCTTTTACTCTTAACTAAAAAATAAAACCATATTATTTTCAAAAATTATCCCCTTCTAATACTATTGCTCAATTCTAATCAAGATATAGTCATGAGAAGTACTTAAAAAATCCTTCATATTTGGATTATTTAGATTGCTTTTTCTACATGTTTGAAAGTGTCAGAGCTGGTCAAAAATCATCATTCCCATACTGTACAAAATTATCACTTCATAATTATAATACCTGAAATCATAATTTTGGGCTATGATGTTAAAAATATTTAAATACCAAAAAAAAATTCTGAAAAAAAAACAACAACCACAAAACGTAATTCTTACGTTTGATTTTTAACTGAGGAGGTGCTTTAATGGTGGAAGATGTGATGCGAGTGCTTCTTACCTATCCTTCCTTAAATGGATCTATTTCCCACAGATAGTAATTCTCTGTATTCTGATAGAGGCTTGCCATTGCTAGTGACATAACAGCAACCACACCTATGGACTGGAGCTGTCACGGTCACTTTGTGTTTGGCTTGGCTTGTGTGTAGTGCTTGGGTTCAGCTTGACCAGATAGCTATCATTTAATTTGTTTTAATTTTGTTTCACTTTGTATGCTTTTACAGCAATATGTAATTTTTGTTAATACTTTTGATGTAGATTGGAAGGACTAAAATCAAACTCTCTCAAGACCAAATGCAGTAGAACTAGAGCTAATTTTTTACCTTTATTGAAAGAGTATTTGTTGTGCCATAATTACAGATACTAATGGTATTCCACATTCCTTTGGCTATTGGGCACACAATGAACTGGAAACTTTTTGAGGTTTAATTTTCAAACTATGTTATGAATACATGGACAATCTGTTAAAAGGCCTTATATAGAGAAATGAATGTTGGACTAGAAATCATCTTAATTCTCTCTGCTACGCACTATCACATTGACCCATACTCCAGTGGCTTCGTTAAGGTGTCCATATGTACTGTATTGATTTGTCTCAGTCAAAGTGGCAAAGAACAAGCACCTGGCAAAACTACTGCACAAATCTGTACCTCTCTGGAAGTCCTGTGAAGACTGAGAGCACCAAATTGAAGTAGTGCATTTGTTGCTGGGTTCATCAGAAATGGTTTTATCATCAGTTATAAAGAAAGGGTACAGGGATGTGTTCTACCTTTTTCAGTGCTACAGCAATGTCCTGACTGCACTAGTTTTTACTTGTGCACAACACAGATTTTTCAATGCATGTTGGCATTGAGAAAGATTATCTACGAATTCTCCATTACCAAAATACCTCAGAAATCAGGACACTAATGGATCTCTTATTGATTTCTGCTAAGGAGTTCTCTACAGTATCATGACTGCTAAATTATACCCATTGTTTAAGTACAGCCTCTTGATGTATCAAAATCTAAAAATAAAAAAATACCATTTTAGAAAGATAAAGCAAGAAATAGAAAAAACTGAAAGAAGAATAGGCTAATCTTTGTACTTACGAAAAGCTCTATAGAATTCTTCCAGACCTAGGTGCTTGTCACTATTATAATCATCGTATTTCAGCAAATCGAACAGAGAGCAGTCAGACAGATCCTTGCCAAGCTCATCCCGTTTTATTACCTGACAAGAAAATTATAACCATGAAATTACATTTGAGCTCTTAGAGTTCTCTGGTATAATTAATTGTTTCTAATAATCATTTAATAGATCATTTTAAGGTTGCTGTGGGGCAATGAACTGCAACTGTGTAAAGTCAGGGATGTCCAGATACTTTGTAGTTATTTATTGCTGTTTTAAAAGTTAATACCTTTAGGACAGACTCACTGAGATTAACCAAAAGTTTTTAGAATGCGTAGAGAACATATATAACGTGGCTAGACAGAAACACTATAAAGACACTCTGAATGATAAAGATGGTTTTACTTGAGATGTATATGAATGCTGATTAAGGAACGTTCAAATGTCCATGAGAGAGTAATTTCCCAAGTATACACAGCACAATGTCTTTTTTCTTCTGAGTAATTCCTAACCACAAAAAACAATTAAGACATTTTCAAAATTGACTAAAATAAACTCTGATTACCCTACTAATTGTATCAGATTCTTAGAGGCTTTTGAGAAGCCTATTATCTTCTCAAGGACCTGTTATAGAAGTAGTTGACCTGAAAAGACCCCTGTTTCTCTATGGGGGCACATCCACTTTGTAAACAGATCATAATTAACAGCTACTAGAGTTTAACTCAAATGAACTTCACCCAGAGAAATGTTCTTTAAGTGATGCACCAATTAGATTTTAAGTCTGCATATGCTGTAGATGTCTACCTGGGCTACATCCAAAGAATTCTGAAGATTTATTTATTATCTTAAATATTTAGAATTTTAATATTACATGGTGTATATATAAAAAAAACATTTTCACATAACTAAAAGAACCAAACCTAATGCAGCTCATCCTAATGGCTGCACAGTTTCAAGTTTCATACCAGACATGGAAAAATGAAAGTGAATATGGTTCATTCATTTATAAAATAATTACTCCTCCAGCCCTCTATATGTCTCCCCCAGAAACCTGCAAAACCATTATATTTGTATTATTATATGATAGCTTCTGAAAAGCAAGGAATACAGAGCCTTTTATGTTTCAGTTGCTCTGCAAAGGATTCAGCAGGAATAGAAAGGAATAGATTCAGTTATTATTCATGTAAATAGAAAATTTCTAAACATGAAAGAGAACAAAAGGAGAATCACGGTGAAAAAAGGACACAAACATTAATTTAAAAGCATTATAAAATACAATAACCTTGCTAGCACATTAGAAAGCATGAAAACCATTCTTACAGATAAGAAAAATTGCCATGAAAACACCTTTAGTTATTATTAATGAAAGATGCATACTATGCTACCTGAACATTGGCACTACCTACTTTTCTCATCCTTTAACAGCCTGGTTATTAGGTTTACATCAAACTGAATTAAAAAAGAAATGAAATTGTGTAGATCTTACAGCTGCTACATAAAGGACAAAATGGGAAAAATTAATAACTAAGTCCATTGCTACTTTTTTTTTTTTTTTCCAAACAAGCAGTACTAAAGATACAGCAGTGTGTGTTGAGAACTTCACTGTGAAAAGTCTTTGAGCTTTCAAGCCACAGAATGTGCTAAAATCACAGCTGGTTCATGAAAACAGAACGTTTCTGGTCAGAAGCACCGTGTCTTTACTTTTTTTTTCCTCCTATAAAAGCTAGTCTGAAGTTGTTAAAAACATGTATTCCCATTAGATTCAGTTGGGATTAAACCTTACACCTAAGGTGGGATAATAAAACATGTTGTTGCAGCCCACCAACACTTACCTTTAACACTGTACTGTATTGTGGTTTAATTGAATATTAGCTTCTGTCCTTTGAGCTAAAAACTGTATCATGATACTTTTCATTTAATAATTGTTCAATTTTATTTTTAAAATAACATTTATATTTTTAAAATAACAGTGACAATATAAAATAATTATTAATAACAAAAATTCCTTAAAAGATTAGCCAGAATATTTGAGATATTTCCAATTATTATACTATAGATGGCTACGTTTTTTTCTGGCATTTAAGTCTCATCTCTAGCAAGACCATCATTTTGATTACAGATATGAGATTGGTTTATATACAATTATGTTTACATTAGCAATATACTTCGGGGATTTTTTTGGAAATTTCACTCAGTTTTGATCAATATATAGATCCCCTCCAATATATCCATAAGGACATATTTTAAAAGGTGAAGAAGTGATTTCATATCATGATTGGTCTTATTTAACTGTCATTTGCTGCTAGAAGCGTAGTTCCAATTCTTGCCTTACAGGAATTCTGTGGCAGATCCAGCCATTTCCTGGCTCCACAGGTGATCAGGATGATCAGATCAACTAACTCTCTGATTAAAACCAAAATGCATCTTGACGAGTTTTGGTTGATTGTTTGTTTGTTTGTTTGTTTCCTTCTATCGCAAGAGATACATTACAGAGCATTACATTACATTAACATGTGGGGATTTGGATTTCGAAAAGAGAAATTGGAATTACTCATTTCAGTCTGAAACTGTAGTTTGATAAGATTGACTGTCATCTGAAATTGCAACCTACATGAGACATTAGCAGAGCAAAGCTTACTACTTACTGAGGTATTAGCAAACAGAAAACATGTTTAGGAACTTAGGTTAGCGCCAAGTATCTTAAAATCAGCGGAACCAAACTGCCTGCTCTCAGGAGTCCCTAACTCACCATCTTTTTCTTGTTGACATTACCTTTTAATAAATGTTCACTTATCAGTAAGATTCCATAAGGTGGGACATAAAATGAGAGCACAAAAAAAAATCAAACAGGGCAAGAAAAATTATCAGTAGCAGTTCAAGAAATAAACAGTAGAATTCACAAGTAAAGATTGAATATTTTTTATATTTCTAAATGCTGTCCCAACATAGCTTTTTTAACATCACCTTCTAAGAAATACAGCCTTTCAGAAAAAACATTTTCATTTTGTTTCACTTATGTTAGGGATTTAATTTACAAAGGTACCTTGCTAAACATAATAGCTTCTTGAATGTAATTTTAATTTCACACCCTATATCATTACAAGAAGAAAATAATAATATTGTGCAATACCAATAATGCACATATTGAATACATAAAAATGTCAGTAATTGCAAAACCTGAAATAATAGGTGTCACTAAGGAATCATTTATGCTGAAAGAATCCAGTGGGATTTTGAAGGTCCAAAAATTCATCCCAATTCTTTTTGATAATTTAAAAATAAATAAATAAAGACAGATGGTATATACTGGTGAGGTGAATAATAATGAAGAGAAGGACAGTGCAGCATATGGAATGAAATGGATCACATGGTTAGATGTTTTCAGGGAAAGGATCTATGATTTCATAGAGCCAAATGTAAGGTCATTCTTCTAAAAACAAGAACCTACACATAGACTTAATGAGGATAAATGTACCCTGGAAAGCCTTTTATCTGAAAATGAGTGGGATTTGCTGTGGATAAGGCAGTCTCATAAATTCCAGGATCATTCTGTAGCCTAAGCCAGCAGTATGATCTTTGGAAATGTAGCAAGATAACTGGAGGTAGAAAGGCAATTTTTGCGTTTGTGTGTTCCAGCTGTGGGACCAGTACTAAAACACAACAGTTAGTTTTCTCTTGCACAGATTAAATTTACTGTAAAGAAGCTAGAATGGAACTTTTCAAGTTAGAAATGATCCAAAAAAGTAACTCAAAGATTGATGAAGTCATCAAGGGAGCTGAGAAAAATCAATCTTTATGGTATTGTTTTGTTTTGATTTTAAAGGGACACTAATGATTGACTGTAGTGTTAAGTCTATAGATACTTTTTGGGGAAAGCAGATGAAAAAAAAGAATACCATATCTCAAAATAATAATCATCATAATCTGGGCAATTAACCTTAAATCATGGGACCCATAAATTCCCCTTGATGTTTTCGAATCAAGGCTTCACACTTTTCTGTGCACATTTTTTTTACTTCAGACAAAATCGAGTTATTTTCTCAATTAAAAGTATAGGATCAGTTGAATGAAATTTCATGTCTATGATAAACAAGTTAGATTAGATGACATAACAGTGTTCCTTTAGTTTTAAATTAAATTAACCTTTATCTTTAGAAGAAGGAAAAGTAAAATTTGAGTGAAGTGATTCTTGAGCCAATTCTTTAAACCTTGTCTGTCTACAAATTGGTTAAATTAGATAGTAAAATGATTAGTTATGGAGGGAGGATAGAAACTGAAAAAAAAAAAAAAAGAAAAAAAAAAGACGAGTCATACTAGAAACAAATTCTTACTATGAAGGTTAAAGCCTGATTAAGATGTTCTGCACAATCTTATCATCGTGCCATACAAGTTGTGCCATACGTGGGATTATTTGATTTCAGACTTCAGAGATAAAAATTCATACCAGAGAACGCTCACAAGCATTTATGCTAAAACATTTTACTTTGCATTTCCATAAAGATAATGGAGTTATTTATTTCAATAATAAGAACAGGTAAAAGGTAAAGCAAAACAAAGCAAAATTGTTGCTCTGCTTATGGCTAATTGTGAGACCATTTGTTTTGTAAAAAATTATTTTTTCCCCCTCAGATCTCACCAACACAGGGAGCACGGTTTTGGAATTTTAATCTTTGAATGAAAAGATGGAGCCATAATTCACGCCAGGTCAAATAAAAAATCTGATCTTGAACAACAACAGTTTGTTAGCAAATATAATAACTGACACTTGTTTAAGCAAATCTGAGAAAAGAAGGAACTTAAAGGTTTAACAACAAGAAGAAAGTAATTAAAATGTTATCTTACCATTACATTTAATAGCAATTAATGCTGTACTAACTAAACCAATTACATCTGTAATTCCTTCAGATTACATTTTTTAACCTGATATATTGTAAACAAGTTGTTTATAGATACAGCTCTACTCAGACTGTTCTACTGAGGTATGACATAGTCTAGATGTTTACAGATAAGTAAACACCTATCCACACATAACCATAAATACAAGAGTATTTCATTTTCTATTCAAGTATGTGTTTGTTTTTTTGTTTTTTAAACAACATTTAACATTAAAAGTTTTGAATTGATGCTTTATGTAAAGACGCTACATTCACAAACACCAGCCTTGTGTATTTACCTGCAAACAGACGGATATGTGACACTATTTAAAGGTTCATCACACTTTATAAGAAATCTTTGATATCACCTGTTCTTGAAGCATAGAAGACTAATACATGAAAATGGCATATTTTATCTCACAGTAACAATATAACCATAACCTCCACTTATCATTCCATGAAACAGCAGTGAACTTTGTAGTTTCTTAAGTGTTTCATTTGGTTGTTTATTATCATTATTTGGTTTGATCTCAATAACTGGAATCAAATGCCACTAAGAAAACATCAAGGTAAAATGCAGAAGTGAGGATAATTTTTTATTAAAAAAAAAATGTAACATCTTTCATTCACAGTATGTTAACCTGGTCAATAAGATAAATGTATTTGAAATTACAGATATTAGTTTGTAAGTAAGGATGCTAATATCTTTCATTGGTGGCATGCAGAAAAGGTTTACTGTTCTAAAATGGCAACTCTACCATACGGGAATAATTGCATTCACCACTAGAAGAATATATTTTGTTCCCATGTCTCCTCATATCACTTCTGGTGTTTTTTCTTTTCTGCATAGGCAACAAAAATATATAGCAATCAGGCAGTCTATAGTAACAGAAAAATGGAAGTTCAATTTATAACTCTGTATTACAACACAGTGTGTTTTTGCCTGAGTTGAGAGAATATGAGTTGCTTAACAACTAAATATTCATAGGTAACCATGATTCTCCTATAAGGAATCAATTACCTTACTTTACCTTACTTTATTTTAGATTTATATTCTTTCAAAGAGCTTAATAAATAAATAAATAAATAAATAAATTGAAAAATCCTTCATGGAACCACCTCGATTTACTAGAAATCTTGTAGGTATGACTAGAAAATGTTTACTTAACCTGCCTGGAGTTGCATTATCCCATAGCTTCTCTATCTTCATTGCAGACTTTGTTTAACCTTTACACCTTGTAGGGAAGTAATAATTATTTGTGAATTACAATTTGGATTTAGACTACACAGCCATAGAAAAAAATAAAATCTACCCAGATGGCAAAATTGTTCAAATGAAAGAAAATAAGTAATAACCTGCCAATTATTAATTTGTTAGATGCATTTATTTTACTTTTTTTATTATTTTTTTATTTTTTTTTACTTTTTCAGTATTTGAAGTTGCTTTCTTTTTTAAAAAAGTAACAGTTTTGCTTTTCCTGAAGAGTAGAATTTGTTTCCCTTGCATCAACATGCAAAGACAAGAACTTTATTAGGATTTCTGATGTAAAATGTATCAATACATTTGTAGCATTGGTGTCATAATTTCCAACCTCCAGCTGATTACTTTCCATTTTATATGAGATAGCATGTCTAGATGGACACGTATAACATAATGTCATCAAAGAATTTGCAGTCACTGCACAGCAAAATAGAGGAGATTTAATATTAACAATATTCATTAACAAGTGAAGTTTTAGTTCAACATTAATTTAGAACATAAATTAACCGTAGGATCCCTTTTTTTCTTTAATGTAGTATTTGTCATGGTCTCAAAATTATTAGAGTGCAGAAAGGCAGTATTATTTATGATAGACCTGCACCCTGCAAAATTTTGGCTGAGGACAACCGATGAAAATTCTTCTACTCCTGATAACATTTTTGAGAGTAAAGCAATGACTCCTATTTTTTCCTCAGGAAGTACCAAAACCTTTCAAACATTTTACCCCCTACACTGGAAAAAGAGACAGATACGTGGTAAAATGTAGTCATCTTCTCAAGAAAGTTAATGGGTCCAGCATTCTCTCAGTGCCTGGGACCACTATCATTTTATAAATTGCTAACTTCTGGACTGAGTCTTCTTTTTCCTTTCCTCCTCCCTATAGAAAGTCCAATGTTTAGAAATACTTCACATATATTAAGGCCAGAAGAGAGCAAGAGCATAATCCCACTTGACACTAGGAAAAAAAAGTAATGCTTTATCAAACTTTCATTCAATAAGAACAAAAAGCATTTGGTTGGCTGAACCAAAGCAAAATAAACATGTCAAGTTTTCAACAATCACTAATAATGCCCTGAAAAACAGCACATTTAATTTGAAGATATTACACCAAATTCTTTTCATCTGCTTTCTTGTTTTGAGTCTTTGGACAGAACTGAGTCACATGTTTAGTTTGTTATCCAAAAATGTGCAGGCTAAAAACCCCATCAGAGAAAGGCTAAAATTTACGAATACTGAGATTACAGAGGAGCTGGGGCTTAACTGCAAAGCTGAACACTATTACAGATAGCAAAGGTGATTCAGTGTTTCTTTTTATCATACAAGTGGGAGACAAAGGTTCACAGTTGAAACTTCTGCTATCAAGAAGGTTTCAAGAGAAATGTGTTCATCTAATTTTCATTTTGTTCAAAATGACTGAAGAATGATTTCTGAGGGCAACAGGTTAGCTCTTTGTGTCTCATCAAAACATACAATAACAAACCACACAGCATGAACAATGAATTTATTTTACATTATTCTTTGGATTGAATAATTTGATGTTCTGCTATGAATTTTAGCAAAAAGAAAAAAGTTCCATGACTGGGGTTTAAGGCTGTTTGACCAGTTTCCATGCTTATGAAAAATCACTACTATACAGATGCCATTATAAATTAATTTTATAGAAGTACATGGAGAATGTATGCATAACTCGGTTGAAAACACCACAATGGAAGATTCTTGTTTTTTAACTAAGGTTGGCATAAAGAAAGAAATAAGAGGCAAAGTATACGTAGAGAATCATGATTTCTTTTTCTTTATATATACACCTATAAATTATGCAAAAAAAAGTTTTTGATACCGACCTTCAGTAGTAGTACTTTAGTCCTGTTCCTCTACTGGAAACATTACGATTCACTAATACTTAGATAATGGATTTCTAGTGGTAAAAGTATCCAGCTATTTTCCAGTAGTTGCAGTAGCCATATGGGGACTATGGCAAAGAAGCCAAACTACTTTCAAGTGGTACAATAGAGAATTACCTAAAATTCAGTTTCTTCATATTGCCAAACAATACACCAATTACTGTAACATTCTATTTCAAGAGTTAATGGTACATACCTATATGTATTAAATATAATTTGTACATCTATATCTGTGATTACTATGTATCTATGTATGCTATATATTTATGTGGTATAAGAAGTATCATTTGTAAAATATATAAAGGCACCAATTTCTCTTAAAAGCAGAAGTTCTGAAAGATTTTTTCTATGGCTGCCTAGTATTTGATACATTAATATGGCTAGATTTTTCAAAAATGGATTTCTACACTACAAAATACATTCACTATAACAACACTTAATAGTTAGCTCTTTTGGATCGACTATAACTAGTGCTGTTATGATTTCTGGAACAACAATTATTGGTGTAAATATTTAGTTAATTAATAAAGCTTGCTGTTTAGAGACACCATGAACTCTATTCAAAACTGATATTGTATTTCTTCAGCGCTAACTCTTTTTACTACTTGCATAAAGCAGTAATACCCATTTAGCATTACAGAAATACTTTAAAACTACTTTTTTCTTTTTTCTTTTTTTACTGCTAAAACACATCTATACAGTTGAATTTTATGATAGCATGCAATAGACAATAAAACATTTCACAGCCAAAGCAACCTACAGTGTTTGTATCCCCATGTATATTTTAAAGCACTGTATTCAAGTTTCTCAATGATTACCACAAAATTCCTGAATAATTCACTTTTTTTCCAAAATTCTTGAATTAAGTTTTCCACCTCAAAGATTCTTACATATTTTCTAAAGTGAAAGCATACTGAGACATAATATTCCACGTATAAGTTTGGACAAAAGCAAACAAATAGCTACCATGACTAATGGAAACAAAATCTAAATCTTACCTGAGATAATTCATTTGTGTCCACAAGTCCATTGCTGTCTGAATCAAAATAATTAAACATTTGATCTACAAGAATCTTCTTTAAAGCCATTTTCTCATCAACGTGTTTATCTTCTGATTGAGCAACGTATCTCCGACTTTGTAGATCCAATAACATATTTTTTACTTTAGTGTATTCAGTAGGTTTGCATTTATCACCTGAAAAGGAAATACACAACACAAGGTTGTTTTGAATTTGATTTCTTAGAAAGAGCTTAAATGAAAAAAAAAATAAAAAAAAAAATAATAAGAAGAGAGTATTAACTTCTTATAACACAAACAGGGTTGCTTTATGAGGCAAATATTTTATTTGTTCTGTAGTGGTTTGATCCATAAGATTTCTTTATCTGGTCTTCAGATTAAGGCCAAAAATGACTGCAGTTCTAGACACTGTTTATTTTTCTGTGTAGGGCAATTAAGGAAAGTCATAAAGAAGGGAGTATCTAAAGATTTTGTAAAATGTTACCTTTGTTAATGCATTTTATGTAAACGTTCCTAATACCTCAAAAATTGAAAATATTATAGGAAATCATACATTTCAAATAATGTATTTCCTAACAACATTTGACTTCAGAAAGCAGAAATTACACTTGAGTGCTCATAAACTAGATTTATCTTTTCATGTACTGGACATATCAAATTTACATGAACAGAGAATTTGGGATCTCTGGGGAAGAGAAAGGATGTCTATGATAAGATCTAGTTTAGTCTCTTCATTATCAAGTCTTTTTATAAAGTGAAAATTGTTACAACAAATATACTTCATACACTGATTACAGTCAGTAATTACAGTTGCTATTTACTCTAAACCTTAACACAACAACTATTTCTGGTATTCTCTTACATCAGATGCTGTATATTTTAAATTGAACATAGATACTGTTTTAGAAATTTTTGTTTTTACTGAGATAACCTTAATACTTCAAAAGGGTTATTAATAAGATCAGATTATGTAAATGCAGACCAGCAAAATACAGTTGCCATGTATTTATTGCAGACATTTAGTTGGCTACTTGTTACTTCCAAATAGAGAATCCAATGCCACAGCAATATGCTGTGTTGATTAGCAAAGAAAGCTGTGTTCCAATTATTTTAGGTGATAATGAAAATACAAGTATAAATCAGGAATAAATGTTTACCTCAAACAAATTGCCTACAGAACTGTTTTGTTATATTTTGTTACATTTATGACACCAAAGTTTATTATTTTGGTGTATTTAATGGCGTATGCATTATTATGCTGACGGCATCACTACATACCCCCATCACCCTTTCATAAAGTAGACAAAGTTCTTAAATGTTCCTTGCTACCTTACAGTGAGACTCAGATCTAGAAGAGGATGACTCCTATGATTGAAGTTAAATTGCACAGGCAAAATATTCTTAAGAATCCCAACTTCTCTAGGAGATATATGTATATATATTATGTATATATATATATATCTATATATATATATTTGTTTTCTAAATGTCACTGTCTGATATATAGCTATCTGACAAACCCCGCTGTATTAACAGCAAGAAACAAACCCAAGCTGTATTTAACTGACAGCCTAAGCTACACATAGTATTCACAGATTTGTCCTTACCTACCAGAGGCATATAGATTGAGTACATGCGATTTATACGACTACTTTCTATATATCTGCTTTTCAGTGGTCTAGCATAAGAATACTCATTACAGAAATAGAATTATTCCTTAGCTAGTCTCAATCTGTACTGAGAAAACATTGCAATCTGAATGGATGAAGGCTCCAGGAGGTGAGGAGTGAAAAGCACTAAATTTCAGCAGAAATTGTTGGTGTTGAACTTCAAAAGACTGAACCAAGAAAGCACGTATCATCTTTGCATTTCCTAGACTGTTGTTTCCTCCAGGAGACAGAGTCTCCAGTGCAACAGAAATCTAACACTACACATGAGATGGTCCCAATTTTATCTATATTCTTGAGAAAAATGTGAACACAAGCTATGTATTAGGTAATACATTGCTCAGAACTAATTACCACATCCAGATTTTATCCCCTGTAAATTATTTTTGATCAAGTGGTTCTCAGTATGTGTTTCTAAAACTGCAAAGAGGTATTTTTACATTACAAATATGAAACACATATGTAAAGCTACTTCCTAGTAATATAAATTAAATCCTAGATTTGTTACAATACCTCTGATGAGCCATGAAAGGTCTGAGTTGGAAAAGGAAATGGAAAATCAACTTGAAAAAAAAAGTCATGATCCTTCCCTCCACTCTTTGAGGCATAGAACAATGCCTCTCATTTTAATGATTGATTGAATTGAATATAAACTCTCACACCTATGAAGACAGTCAAGATGATATTATATACTTTTTAATGTAGAACATTTGCATGGATAGCACAGATTCCCACATGAAAAGTGCAAAGAAGCGCAAATTTAGAGACAAAAATAAAAATTATAAAGCTTGTGATCATGAAAAGCATTGTAATAGTCAGTTTTCGTACTTTTTACTCAGAGCTTAGTGGTTGTGGAAAAAGTCTGGAAGTTCAATCACAGTCCGCTAAAGACATTTTTATGCACTTTAAACATTCTTTTAGATCTAAAGTTTAATGAATAAATAAACTAATTTATTCTCTCACAGTACCTCTTCAGAGAGAAAATCATTTGTTACGTGTATCCTATATTGAGATAACTTCTTGTTTTACTTTTCCTATTCCCATGATTTCCTTTGGAAATATTTTTAACCTAAAAAAGTATCTCTAAGTTATCAATATGGTGTATTAATAATGAACAGAAAAGATTAATGTCTCTTTAAAATTAATGAAAAATTAGTGAAAGATACTAATATTTAATTATCAAAGTAGCTGCTTTATAGATACTGAAACATTAATCATGACAGCAGCCCATTGAAGACCAGCTGTGAGCAAGGTGAATATAGTTCACAAAGAAATTTCATGTCTCTGCAACCCATCTTCAGCAGTGATTATTTTAAATTCAACAATGGTGGTAAAGGCAATGCACTTTATGAAGTTGTTTGTACCATGGCTGCAAGATAATAGCTGTAATTTGCTCTCACTGTGTACTTGCTCACTCTTCAGACCAACCTGACTCTGAATTACAGTGCTGGCCCTGACAAGCTCATTGGCTTCTGGTGTGCTTGTGCTTGCTGGAGTCTAATTCTTTCAGTGCTCCAGAGTAACTTGTTTGAAAAATAATCCTCGTGATGAAAATACCACTAACACCCTTCTGAAAAAACACTTAAGTTTGTTTTGTTTTGTTTTTAATATATATATTTGTCATCTCTTATGTTTTAAATCATACTGTTTTGTTCCTCTACATAGGTTAGTCTGACCCACATATAAAAAAGTAAAAAAAAAAAAAAAAAAAAAAAAAAAAAAAAAACTTTGTCAACAGTAGCTCCATACTCCCTGCAACCACACCGCGACACAGTTGTCTGTAATAAGGAAGCTGTATCTCCTGACCCCTTTACCTGAAAAGGATGAAACCCTGTTAGTCAACAGGGCACACAGTTATTTTAACAAATTATCCTCTTAACTCATTGTCATGGCTTCCTTGGATATTACAGTAAAAGGCAACACAATGTAGATGCTTACATTATAAGAATGAGGCTCTGTTGATGTTTGCAGAAAGAGCAACCCTGGGCTGAAATAGCGGCATAGGGAAGAACTTGGAGAGCTGTATTTATTTGTGTTCTAACTTAATCAGCATTACTCAAGAAATAGTTGTCTGAATGGCAGGCAAATGGTAACTTGGGAATGACTACCCTGAAAATGAGGAAAAGTAATTTATGCTTAAAGTAATGGAGAAAGACAAAACTACTGGAACTCTACTATAAATTATATTACTCCCCATGCTACAAGAGCCAAAGATGGCATTTATCAAAACCAGAAAGCATGATTTGGCAGTTATCAGGATAGAAAATGAACTTCACAACAACAGACTTTCGGATTGTTGGCATATTTTCAAATTTATCACAATGATTACACTGTTACATCTAGACCAACAAAATGCAGCACAGTTTCAGTTCTGATTATAGTTTCAAAAGAAAATTCTCAATTCATATTCCTAAAGTATTTTTCCCATAAATGAGTTAGACTACATCTGCCAATATTAACTTTCAAATTAATTGCATTATAGCATCTTGGCAAATCCCTGTTATTTACGTAATAACTTCTGAAAGTTTGAAGAATATGAAAACGTTTAACATGAAAAAGACTAAATCATATATAATGATATCCATATATGAAAAAGTAATCTATTCATTGTGCATAACTTAATAATTTAATTCAGTTTTCTGATACTTTTTATCCTTCTTCATTTCTGAATTACATTTCTCATATAAATAAATGGCTAATTTCTAAAAGTAATGGAAAACAATCATGGGAAAATTATGTTTTCTTGTTCAGTTTTTGTTTCATGCACGTAAACGATTAATTCTCCTACACAGCAAGTTTTTGCAAAGAAAACTTCTCTGCTGTAATTTATTTTACAAATTTTCTATCATCTCCCATGAAATCCTAGAAGGTGTGCAGAAACCCAGAAGTGACAAAACACACACACACACTAGAATCAGAGCACCATTCTTCTGTCCCATACCTTGTAATTTCTGAAACAGTGCTACTCCTAGGACTTACTTAATTCAAATCATAGAAGAGAAAAAAAGTGGAAACACTTGACTGTTTGTTTCCTTCCATTTAGTACAGCAGTTTTGCAGCTGTATCCCTGTTACCCAGGAAACAGCTGAAAGTTAGAGACTGACTGCTATTGCCATCCTAGACAGTTTTAACAATGATATTTGTTCATAACAGAGAGGGGAAAAAATAATTAAAGAAAAAATGAGGCCTTAATTTGCAAGAGAAAAAGGTATATATCAAAACTAATTAACTATTTGTGAAAAATTAAGAATAATGATGGTGTAGTATTGCTAAGGCCTGTAGACATTAAGATTCAATCAGGGTAATAGTTAAGCAACATTGCTTAAACCCAAGTTCAAATCTCAGGGTTTTGTGTTCCATAGTTTGGGGGAAAGTACTGGTGTACATAGAGATGGAAAAAAAAAATCATATCATTTTAAAAATGTAATGCAGACCATCTGATTTCTGTTCTCTGTTCTTTCACCACCTTCACGGGTAATGAAGGCATTTTAACCTCTCTTTGCCTTAACA